AGTGCAAAACAATTAGATAAAATCATCTCAGTATGTCTTGTTTTACATCCTCATTTCATAGCAAATCATAAGTTTTGGTACTTAATAAATGGTACATTGTAAAATATAGCACTCTTGTTGTAGTTACTTATCTGTTCTTGTTTAGAAGTAGTAATTGGTAAGATCAATCATTAACTGGCAATTCAGTGTACTTTAATCATTATTGGTTATAATTTTTATGTGAACTGATTTATGATAATAAGTAGTTTTATTACATGTTAAAGCAGACATACCATGCCACTTGCATTTAGCAGGTGTTGGCCATGGTATGTCATCGTCACCTCCTTCTCTCAAACATAGTGAGACTTTTCTCCTATCAATTGAAAGCTGGATCCAAAATAAGCATTTCTAGCCACAGATATTGTTACAAAATTTTCCTTTTGTTATTCTGATCAACCCCATTAATATTTTGATTTTATGAGTTCTTTTTTTTTTGTTACTAGAAGATAATAGGGATTATTAAATTTCTTAAGCTCTTTATTGTCATAATTTTATTATTCAACTATGTAATCAGATTGTTCTTTTTTAATAAATGTGAATGTGTTTTGTTTTTTATACCACAAACATATTTGTGGGACAAGTTTTGGTAATACACAATGAATGTAAAGTGGACTATAAAAATTTCATTTCCTTCTTGGAAGCTCAAAATTGTGTCTTTAAAATGCATCAGATAACAGGAAAAAGTATGAAAATGTAAGTATTTTTCCTAAGAGAGGATCCTTGATTACCACTTGTCCTTCCCGCACCTACATTCTGGACTCAACCACATGTATTGGTTCATGGTACTTCACTTTCTCCAACACAAAAATTCAACCACTCAGGTTTCCCTGAATGTTGTTGGTTTCTCTGTATAACATCTTTTAAAATAATGTATAGTTAATTTTGTATTCTGGTCCAGTTCAATTAACTTTGATAAAAAATTCTTAATTATTACATTAAAGGAAAAATTTTCTCTCCAATGCTGTCTTTATTTTGTGAGAATAAATTTGCAATATAATAGTGAAGTTTAAGGTCGAGCCCTAACTTACATTTGACTTTTCCAAATGCTCAAATTTACCCTTTCTTTTTCTGTTAGGATGTAGAATATTTTCTTCTTTCGATTAGTTTGATACTTAATTTTAAAACTTGGCTTGAGAATGGTGTCAGCCATTGAGTTATGTTTAGGGGTTTTCTTGTGTCAACCAGTAGGTGAAATGCTGGTAAAATAGTTGGAGAAAACATTATTGCGGGATCAAGAATTAATTGTACAGCTCACAACAACTAGACTTGTTGGGGGTGTTAACAAATATTATAGTAATGCTTAAAAAGGGGAGGAGGAGGTTTTTAGAGATTTGGAACCTAACTTGTTTCTAGATGCTATTTTTTTTTTTTTTATTAAGTTAAACATTTATTTACTTTTCATTGAAAGTTAATATAGAGAACCATTGTTTAAAGAAACAAAAGTTTAAAGCATAAAAAAGTGAGATTTTGTTTTTTCTAGATGGTCTATGGTATCGTGCAGTGGCCCTACAGCTAGACAAGGCTGATATACATATTTGGTTCAGTGACTTTGGAAACTCTGAGATGGTTGCAACAAGTGATATCCGTCCAATTTTCCCTGAAGTTATGGAATATCCTTTGATAGCCCAACACTGTATGTTACAAGGCAAGTACATAATCCAGAAGCTGTTTTCATGGTTTGATCTATCAGTTCTTTTCTTTGTTTGTTGTTGTTTTTTTTTTTTTAGTATTTAAAGTTGATAAGTACAATAATAATGAAAGAAACTGTTATGTTTTATAACATCAGAAAAGTATTTTCCATCACAAAATCTTGACACATTTATATTATTGGTGTAGAGTTAGTATGTGTCTGATTATCTTTTACTTGAAACTGTAAAATAATGAAAACATTGAATTATAGTAAAATGTAATAGAAACTCATCTTGTTCTTACAAACAAGTTTTGTAATACAGATGTGTTTATATAAAGTTCACATTTAGGTGAGATTCAAAAACAGAATCTTAAGAATTTCACTTTGAAAGTTTTTTTCTTCAAATTTCTAACAATACATTTTATTATCTGATGTTACTACATAGACTTTCTCACTAAAATGGAGTGGACTGATGAAAATATACAAGAGCTGAGGACGTGTTTACCAGATTCGGATATCATTATGGCAACAATTCTGGAAAAACACCCAGATAATTATTACATTGTAGACATCCCAAGGTACTTGTTTTAATAGATTGAAAGGGGAGGATGAACTATACTTATAAAACTACATTTTGTAACCTTATCTAAACTATGCAGTCCATATCAAAGTTTTAAATTTTAAACTGAAGATGTATTAATTTTAGAATTATCTTCCTTACGTGAAATTCCATCTTAAACAACTTCCAGATTTAAACTTTTAGTCATAAAAGCTAGAAACTAATTACACAGGCCTGCAAATTTAAACTTCATAAAAGTTGTTTTGGTTTTAATAACAGATTTTCCATAATTCAGCTACACAGATTTTGAAAATAATATTAATTTTTTTTTGTATAAGGTAAGGATTTTTTACAAATCAGGAAGAAAAAAAAACTTACTTAGATCAAATTATTATTTCGTTTGCACATGTTATAAAACTGTTGTTTGCTTTAATGATCACTGAACTACCTTTTATCTTATTTTAAGGAACTTACTTGTGATGAAATTACATAGCAATAAATGAACTTGTTTAGGAATATTTTTCTTTGCATACAATTTAGCAAGATAAAGTACTTGGCTTAGTTCATTGGCTCTCAACCTATTATATGATAGACAAAAACTTTTGAAAAACATTAGAAATAAAATAAACCTTGCACCTCAAAATTGGAGGGCAACATTGATGAGTTACCTATAGGCTTGTCAGGTTACAGGTAGTCTCATATTTAGCCACCTATAGGCTTGTCAGGTTACAGGTTGTCTCGTATTTAGCCACCTATAGGCTTGTCAGGTTACAGGTTGCCTTGTATTTAGCCACCTATAGGCTTGTCAGGTTACAGGTAGTCTCGTATTTAGCCACCTATAGGCTTGTCAGGTTACTGGTAGTCTCGTATTTAGCCACCTATAGGCTTGTCAGGTTACTGGTAGTCTCGTATTTAGCCACCTATAGGCTTGTCAGGTTACAGGTGGTCTTGTATTTAGCCACCTATAGGCTTGTCAGGTTACAGTTAGTCTTGTATTTAGCCACCTATAGGCTTGTCAGGTTACTGGTAGTCTCGTTTTTAGCCACCTATAGGCTTGTCAGGTTACCGGTAGTCTGATATTTAGCCACCTATAGGCTTGTCAGGTTACTGGTAGTCTCATATTTAGCCACATATAGGCTTGTCTATAAATAATGGCATCTTCTTTTTTCCCTAGTTAATGAACAACAAAGATAGTGTCTGCTAAAATAACGTATTTATACAGAAGTACATACTTGTGTTACTTTCCATCACCAAACCTAAAATCATTTTCATTTTCCTTACTGCTTAAAATATCAAGATCTGTGGACTTGTTTCTTCCATTGATATAATTAAACTGGTTTATATTTTCTGTGAAATGGTTTTTAATATATATGTTCAGGTGTGTTTTAAAAACTTGCATGTTTTTTTTTTAATCTTGTAAAATATAATTATTTAAATTTACTGTTTTGAAATGAAAAATATTTCATCTTTTACATTTCTTTAGGTAGATAATTTTCAAAGTTTTATAATTAATTTTTTTTTTCAGTGTTCGTAAACATTTGATCAAGAAAGGGCTTGTCAGACTCACCACAGAGGGAAGCTAGTGTTTTTCACTTGTGTTTCTTTCAGTGAACTTATCAAAAATTGTACAATAGAATTTATGTATTCTTTTTTTATTTTGTTTTCACTTGTTAAAAATTTCTTTACAATTGACAGGATCTTCTGTCCTTGCATGTATTGTGATTTGAGTTTGTTACTGTTCATGGACCCATTTTTGCTTGAAAGACGAGACATGTATCTACGTTGAATTTTTCAGTTACTAGCAGGGTATGCTTTGGTGCTACAAGCCAGACCTTCATTTTTTTTTTTCTGCTTTTCTTTGAACATGTGAACTTTACACCCTTTCAAGCTTAAGTGATATACTTGTTTGAGAAAATATTGATAAGTCTGCTTGTTCAATCTCATTGAGAGTTCTCCATGTACCAGTTGTAATAAAACTTTGTTTGTTATTGTACAATCATTAATAAGTGCATTTCTTTATATTAAACAGGTATTAACTGTAAATAGAAAGTCTTAAATGAATTATAATTATTTGGCCTTGATTAGAAATATTTGTAGATAAAATGATAGAAAAACGGTGGTTAGGAAAGCATAATAGAATTTGTAGTGTATTTAGAGTGGTCAAACCTGACCTTAAAACATAAATTAAAGATATTCTCCCCAATATGGACTTTAGATTGTAAAAAAACTATTTTAAGTAATCTCATCCAAAGCTAGTTTTGTATGTATAAAGTTAAAAGTATGCGAATAAATGGACAATGTAAATTAAAAATGCTGTACAGTATACCTAAGTTAACTTTGTGCACCATCGCTTACGTAGATAATTATTAATTCTACGTTAAAAATCAAAGCAGTTACTTGCCAATCTTCTTAAAGGAATATGGAACATACCTATTTAGATGTATTATTTTCATCATTGTTATTATGGAGCTAATTAAGCTGGATGCTCGAACCAGGAACCCCAGCAGGCTATAGATGTACTGCAGGACCTTGTATACAGAAGTTCTAGGGTAGCTTCTGTGTAGCACAGGATAAGATGTGTGTGTTTTTTTTGCTGATGCATGAAAGTTTGAGAAACAATGTTTTAGTGCTAACAGCCATGAGAATGTGTTAGTGTTTACAATATGTGAAACAAAAGGTTTATAGTTATGCTGCCAGTTCCTGTTTGTTCTATGTTGTTAAAAGTAGACTAACTTTGTGAAACTAACTACAATAGTCCTGGTACTTGTTTAAATGTTTGTGTGTGTGACACATAGTTTAAATGTTTGTGTGTGTGACACATAGTTTAAATGTTTGTGTGTGACACACAGTTTAAATGTTTGTGTGTGACACATAGTTTAAATGTTTGTGTGTGTGACAGTTTTTTTTGCTCAACTTCTCTCCTTGGGACACCACCAACTTTATCCACAGATACAAGCCTCAAGCCTGCGTATTTCCTGAGTGCACCCATCGTCCCTGCAATGAAGGTATGCTCCTCCAGCACAGGACACCCGAAGATCTTCGTTACCTTTGCCACCCTTGGTCTTCAAACCCACCCATCACATGCCACCCCCCCCCAAAGCAATGCCAGTCTCCACACAGTATTTCTAAGAAACGTTCTCATATCCTTTACCACAGAAGAAATCCATCAAGCCTTCGAAACTTCAACCAACTCAATGATCCACGCAGTTCACCAAATCACATCCAAGAAAACGGGTTCACCCTCTAATTTCATTAAAATTGTCACGACTTCTAAACTAACTGCAGACTTCATCCTCACCCATGGCTGCTCTCTTGAATTCTACCATTTCAAAGCAGAGAAACCATATTGGAAGCCTTGTCCACCCCCTACCCTTACCAGTTCACACCCCAAGCCCATGTTTCACAACATCCGAACGACAAATGCCGCCTACCAGAACTCTACTACCCAACCTATCACATCAGACCAAGCAACTCATCTGAGACAAAAAGACAAGACAACCCAAACTACCACTACAAGAAGGAAAAAAAGGTACCCAGCCACCAGTCCTACCAGTAACCAATGATGCATATCAACAAACCAGCAACTCGCCCATCAGCCCAGTCCCACATTCTGCACCCTCCGTGTCAAACTCACCCAACGCTCTTATAATCGACACCTCTTCTGACCTTGACATGCCCGGAAAACCTTTCTTTGCTCTCTGCCCACTTACCAATGACACCGAGGACTTCATGCTGTCACAACCATACTGGAACTTGAACCCGAACCCCAGTAAAGTCCTGGCAAACATCAGAAGAATACAAAACTCCTTTAAACTTTAATCAACCCCCAGCACCAGACTTCATTTTGCCTCTCCAACTTATTTCTTCTCGCTAACTGGGCACTGGTAACGGATTGGTTGTTACCAATGAAAGTGGATTTTCTTGGGGTAGTCCCATTTACCCCAACATCAAATTCTTGGCATAGGATTTATAGATCCCTGTCACTGTGATGAACCATCTGTCTGATATCGGCCGTCTATGTTTATGATATTTACATAGTTTGTTTGTATCAAAACTTCATTCCAGTCAACCTATCATTCTTTGTTTATACTTCAATTCAAGCCCATACCTTTAATCCATGTGCGGGTCACCCTGATGAACCATCTGTCTGATATTGACCATCTATGTTTATGATATTTACATAGTTTGTTTGTATTAAAACTTCATTCCAGTCAACCTATCATTCTTTGTTTATACTTCAATTCAAACCCATACCTTTAATCCATGTGCGGGGTGAAGGAGGATTGCTTAATCTTCGAGCACCCCTGATTATTACTTATCTCTTCTGAAATAATTAATTTCAAATCAAAATAACTACCAGGACCAGGAACACATTGTTTAAATGTTTGTGTGTGGGTGATTTTTTGTTGTTGTTGTTATGAATACTGCAACCATCAAAGTCATGGAACCACAAACACTTTAATGCACAAACAGTTTAAAGAGAGATGTTTAAGAAGTCAGTAAGGTCCTGGACTACTTGGATAACTCAATCTGTAGTGGTAATCCTAGAGTCGGAGTGTAAATGTTAAAGGAGACTAACAATAGTACTTGAAAATAGTTCTAAACAGTTCTTTAAATTAGTTACATATTGTGAAATGTTCAACCACGAAGTAAAAGGTATTTACACACTCTACCATACAAACACAAAATAATTTTAAGAAAATTAACGACGCATTTTAATCCTTTCACTCCTTATACCAATTAACAAATTAGTTTTTTCTGCCAGTTTGTAACAATGTAAAGTGTATCTTTCTACGGGCAGCTCCTAGTTTGTAACAATGTAATGTGTATGTTTGTACGGACAGCTCCTAAAGGTTTTATATGTTTTGATGTTTGTTTCAACCATCAATTATTCTGATAAAGGAAGTAAATCATATTTACACGAGTAAAACAACTGAACAGGTGTTTCTAAGAAAGACTGATTGGATATTATTTACCTAAAAACAGAATCATCATTGGTTTAAGTGGATTTGTATTTAAATGTTTGGGTTTGGAATTATTAGCATTTTCTTTTTTTTCAGATGTTACTATTAACGTTGATTATTTGTGACTTAAATTTGTACAGTTGTTTTGGCAGTATGAATTTTCATTTGTATACGTCTATCACATCTGAACAGTTTTAGGTTACTTTTCACATGTTAAAGAAGACAATTGCTCAAATATTGGGTAACTGTAAAACTGTGTTGTATATGTGTTCTGTACCATTTTAGGCATATCAGATTTTTTAAATGATGTCAATAACTTTATGAGAACATGTACATAGGATCTGGGGCTCAATTCCAGCTTAATTGATGCAAGCAGATAAGGTCAACACATTCCTTTAGGAAGGGATGTCAGTCTGTTACAGATTAACACCATTTAACAGCTGTATGGACTGAAATTTGAGGTAAAGTGTGCAAAGATGCAACAGCATGATGCAAGCTTGTGTATGTATATGTATACACACACACATGTCAACTATATTGTATTTTTCTTGTCTATTGGAGTTCATTACAAGAACACAGTTACTAAATTGAAACTGATTTCTTAATTAAGAATACCTGCTGCAGATTACATCATCCTTAAGCTTAAATGCCAAACAATAAAAAAAAAAGTTTACAATAGAAAATTTATTAAGCTTTGAAAATACAACAGAAGAGTTTAATAACCATATTGTTTTGTATTTTATTCTCGTAAACAATATTCTTAAAAATATTACTTATTCATATTAATGATTGGGGCTGTGTTTGAAGGTTCTCTCGCTAGCTAGGAATTCAAAGCTAACTCAGTTTTTTGTTGTATCTTACATTTTTTATATTGCCCATTACTTAAACAGAAATTGTATTAAAAAGAAGAGTCTTTCTTTCTGTGCATTGGAGCAGACTATTATGGTGAAGCACAGGGGAGTGAAGTTCTATAGCAGCTGCATTACTTCAATAGTGTATAGTTTCTTAGATATAATGAGTGGGTTTTAGTTGGGAACTCGGGACTGGAATGCACTCTTAAGGAAGATAGTAATGAAGATGTACAATTTTTATGTAGAGTTTGTAGGTTGGAAGAAAAGTTAGAGGCAATCATGATTAGAGTAGATGCAATAGATAAAGAGAAGTGTAAACTGTGGGAAATGGCAGTGGGATTTCCAGAGGAACTTAAGCTTTCACATGCATGAGATACATTAGCTAACAGTGACTTTCAGGAAGCTAGAAACAGTACTGTTAGGGCTAAAATTAGTGGATTTAATTGTAATGAGCCTATTCTACTGAGCATAAGATTTCAGCCCATGGCTTGTGCAGATGAGGAACTATTGGAAGGAAGGAAAACAAAAGGGACAGAGAAGGATGTGAATGATAAACTTAACGTTATATTTATAGGTGATTCTTTGACAAGGCATGTGGATAGGATAGTCTATAGGATAAATAGGGAGAAAGGAATTAGATTATGTTGCACAGGGGCACAGGTGGAGGATATAACTAAAAGAACAAGATATTATAAAAGGGGCTAGCAATAATGCAGTTTTTGTTTTGTGTGTGTGTGTGTGTGTGTGTGTGTGTGTGTGG